AGTTACATTAAAAGAATGTGACTCTACTTAGAGTAAAATTAACTCTAAGACTACTAACACCAAAACATTTAACACTTTTGAATTTGCTGTGCACCTTTTATTCTTCAACACAGCTTGAACTCTCTTAGGCAAGCTTTCTGTCATTTTTTTTAAAGTAGTCTTCAGGAATGGTTTTTCAGTAATGTTGAAGTTTGAGCTCTGAGGTAGCCAGTCTGTGACCGATGGTCTTTAGGATCATTTACATGCTGAAAAATGAAGCAGTTGCCAACCAGATGCTTTCCTCATGGCATTGTATGGTGTATCTACCCTCACTTTTCTGTGTTGATAATTTCACAAATGTTGTTCTCCAACACCACTGGTTGAAATGCAGCCCTGAATCATGATAGAGCCTCCACCATGCGTCATAGATTGGTGTGGACACTCTCTATTGTACCTCTTACCTGTACTTCTCCAAACATACTGACTAAGATTTGAACCACAGTTATCAAATCTGGATTCATCACCCCATAAGACCTGTTCCTACTGATTTTCAGTCCAGTTCTTGTGTAATTTGGTCAACCTGAACCTTTCCTCCCTGTTTATTCCCTTCTTTAACAATGGCTTCTTGACAGCCATCCTTCCCCAAAGACCGTTTCTGATTAGGCTTCAGTGAACACTGGCTGTATCAATTGAAGGGTGTGTTTGTTATAGGTCTTTGCTGTAATTTTTTATTTATTCATTTATTTGTTTGTATTGCTGAAGGGCATGACTTCCAGATACTGTTCAACTACTGTACATGGTTTGTAGCCCTGTCATTTCTTCTTCTGTTGTCCTCCACTTTGCTACATTATTCTTTCTGCTGAGATGTACCAAGTCTTCAGCTAATGGCTCTCTAGGAATGACCTTGTTTCTGTAAAAATATCATTTTTTTATGCCTGTCAAACTGTGTTATTTTGGCTTTTTTTTTTTTTTTTTTGAAGATTGAACTAAAGTTGTGACATGCTGCTCTTAACAAAGTGCGTAAAATAACCATTTAGAATGAGTTGTCTGTTATCTATAGACACCGGTTCATCCCTTGAGTTAGGCGCCTTTTTCTGTTTGAATCATTCATATGTCAGTGTGAAGTGGCTTAACAAACAAAAAAGATTCCTCTGAAAATGCTCAGTACAAGGACTGGACTGAAAATAAGTGAAAAAGCTTACAAGAAATTCTGACTCTTTGGAACCAAAATCTAAAGAAGTGAGGGGGTAACTCAAGACCTTTGACAGCACTGTATCAAACCTAAAGTTTGTATTTGTCTTGTACCCAGATACTCAGAGGGTCTGCAGATGCTGCTGAGCTCCATAATGGTGTCAAATCCTCAGGAGAGACCGAACATCAACTGGGTTCTTGATCAAGTACAGGACCTGCAGAGTCGCAGCCCAAACACCCAAACCAACATGGTCTGATCCTGCACAGTGAACCAAATGTGTGGTCATGTAGACCTTTGAAAGGAACATGTTAGTTCCAGGTTAAAATTCTTTGATTTATTTATTGACTCTAATAATCCAATTTTCACTCATCTTGGGGAGCTTGGCATGAGTTTAGTTTGAATGTTCCAGTTCAGTTTGGGTATCACAAAACATTTGTATAGTCCTCCTAAAGCTCTGAAGAATCAGAGAAGCCTTACATGTAATTACACCCAGAAGCCAATTATGGCTGAGGTTATGTGCATCTGATAATGAAGTGGGTTTGTTTTGTAATCTCAACGTTCTTCCAAGAGTAGAATAAAGAGGACACCACTCTGGACACCACTCTGGACACCACTCTGTCAATTCAGTTTGAGGCTGGAACTAGCAGGGTGGGATTTTAGTTTGGGACTATGATGAGGGCAACAGGCTAGCGTTATTACTCTATATAAAGGTTAAAATCAGTGTACATTAACTTAAAATTCAGTTATGAAGAAAAGCTGCCTAGCTACTGGCTGTGGCCTTACAAAATAAGCATATTTCTATAATAATACTTTAAGATATTCAACTTTGTTTTTTTTCTCAGTTATAGTGTGGTTGTTTTTTGTTTTCTTAATGACAATGGTGATAACATAGAAGCTTTGCCAAAATTTCCCGTGAGTGAAAGCTGCCCCAGATGACATTCCCTAGCAAGAAGTTCCATTTTCTTTCTTTATTTTTCCCCCTTTAATTCCTTATTATTCCTTATTATGTGTAACACTTAGCTACACATGTGTACCGTAATCGTCAGCTTTCTCGTTTTAGCAGAGATGGAGAAAAGAGGCAGGAGTCTCCTCGTCTGCATTTCTCCACATATTCAATTACTTGCACACAAAAAAAGGAAAGAAGAGAATGATTGGAGATGTCAGGTTCTAATGTTACAACAGTAAATTCAAATTTTAATGACACTGAGGAATCACTTCATGCTCATCATGCTTGTCATCAAAATTGCAATTTTATGTGACATTATAGGGTTTGTTTTTGTTTTGTTTTTATTAAACTTCACTTTTCACTGTATTGTGTTTTAACAGTTAAATATTTTCCATTCCAGCTATGTTTGTGTTGAATCCTGCATTTTTCACTCATGAGTGATTACAGTTTGTCACTTTTGTTTTCTCAGGGTACGCAAACATCTCAAAGGGTCTGATGGTGTTTCTCATTAGACCCTAATGATACTTTTTAAATGGTTACTAGACACAGTAAGTTTTTAGGCGTTTTAAATTTCATTTGTGGCCTGCAGTGATGAAGTACATTATAATAAAACTAAGAAGTCCAGTTAATTGTTGGTACGTACTGGAACAGTAATTAACACAGCATTTAACTGTATCACCTCCTCCTACTAAGCCTGTATGTGTCAACTGACTATGAACTTCTGTGTGGCTGTTAATGGCGCACAAACTGGCTTGATGCCTGCAGTAAGAAATCTCTCCTGTATTACAGACACACTGGTGAAGATCACAGATGAGTGTGTTATTTGATTTTGTAAAATCCTTTTGAAGTTGTGTTTATTCACTGTCAAGTAAAAGGATAAATGTGGTAAATATGTAGCACTATGTACACAGTTTTTAATATACTTGTGAAATAAAATGGCATCGTGGCATTTTAAAAGTAGTCTGTCAAATAAATTATGTGAGTCTGTGTTTAAGT